ATAATAATAATAATAATAATAATAATAATAATAATAATAATAAGATGCATCTGAGGATGTAGACTGATGTCTGAGAAAGCTCATGCTGCCAACTTCTTTCTTTCCGTGGGTTTCCAAGGTGCTACAAGATTGCTATGCATACTGATTCTACAGACTAAGATGGCTAGATCTTTGATTTCAGCCTTCTGTCCAGGAAGAAATGCAAAATGTTGAGCCTAAATTTATATTTATATTAATGTTGGTAGCTTTTATTTAGGAAGACACTCCTTTTTTCTTGAATATCCTGGATTTTGCAGGGCCTTGTCCTCCTTTGCGGTGAGGACATCTGGACACCCTGGGCAACATTTGAGTCATGGGCCGCATGCGGTCCAAAGCGGGGGGAAACCCCGGGATACAAAAATATATTTTTCCCAAATACAATTGACGTGGGGACATTTTTTGGCCAGAAAAGTCCTCTTTTACTTCAAAAAAAGAGGAGGTGACTTCTGGGTTGTACAAAAAAAAGCCAATCCTACATCTAAAAAGGAGCCCTAAGATATGAAAAAGTCCATCCCATGCACCAAGCTTAGGCTAAGACTTGGAAAGGTAGCCATGTAAATGGCTCCAAGAAAAGGATCAAGCCTGAATTCTCCCTAAAAGTGAAGATGACTAAACTGAGGCAGTCGTACTTTGGAAATATCATGAGATAATATGACTCATTTTATAAGATGATAAGGCTTGGCAAAACGGAAGACGGTAGGAACAGAGGAAGACTGCATTACAGGTGGATTGATTCGGAGACTCTGAGTCCATCAAGTATAAAGATGTATCCTTAAATATCCAAGTTAGAATGATCCATGTCATCGTATTGCTGATTTCTATGCATGGTTGTGCAAGCTGGACAGTGACAAAGGCTGAAAATCAATTCATTCGAATTCATTCGAGAAGAGTTCTACGGATAACACGGAACGCTAATAAGAGAATTAAATGGGTCCAAGAAAACGATCAAGATGACTAAACTGAGGCTGTCGTACATTGGAAATATCATGAGATAATACGACTCATTTTATAAGATGATAAGGCTTGGCAAAGAGGAAGACTGCGTTATACGTGGATTGATTTAGCGACTCCGAGTCCATCCACACTGCAGAAATAATCCTGTTTGACACCGCTTTAGCTGCCATGGCTCAATGCTATGGCATTCTTGGAATTCTGGTGCCATAACAAACTACAATTCCAAGAATGCCATAGCATTGAGCCACAGCAATTAAAACGGTGGTCAAACTGGATTATTTCTGCAGTGTGGATGCATGCAGCCAAAGAAGCCATGGCTTTGAGTTTGCAAGACCAATATATCTTTTGGTTTGCAAGATCTCCAATTCCTAGGGTTGCTACAAGTCAAAACTGACTCAACAGGGAATAACAACAATTCAAAGACACATCTGTCCAAACATCTCGAGTCGCTAAAACTCATTTCCACAAAGACAAGAGCGTTTTACGTTTTAAAGAAGTTGAAGTAAATATTCACTGAGGTCTGTCTGCACCAACCTGTTAAGGTCTGTTTAGTTTTAGTTACTTTGCAAAGTTGCAATGAAAACGTGCGCCCTGATTTATGACGCCATAAAACAGGTGGCAAACTTGTTTTGAAATGCGCTTGTTTAATGTTAAAAAAAGGAAAATGGGGTTGGAGCGTTGGCTGGAGGCGCAAGATCTCCCAAGTTCAAGCCCTTTGCACCGCTCCGTATCTCTCATTTTGATCTGCTTCACAAAGAGTTGTTATAAGAAGAGAGTTCTGTGCCCTGATTCCGATAGAAATTCCGATTAAAGGCTAAAGAAACAAACGGAGGTTTTATTGCAAGAACTCCATTAAAGAGACGAAAGCTGTTTAAGCGTGCGAAACTAACTCTGAACTCTGTTATTTTCACTTTTTGACAGAAATGAGAGAATAATGAGGTAGGAAGAGGAGAGATCCCTAAAAAATATTAGTTTATATCTTATAGAGGGGTTAGGAAAAGTGAACAAGAAAAGAGGAGATTTTGGACTACTTTCTTTCCTTTCACGGATGTTGTAAAACATTTTTAACTCTTTAAACATCCTTCACCCCCATTAAATTTTTATTTATCTCCTTTATTTAATTTCTTTATTTTGTTTTTGTTTAGTTAGTTAATTTTTTTAAAAAATTACTAATATTTAACCATCGTACAATCTGAGTGAGAGCCAGCCTGGCACAGTGGCTTGAGTGTTGGACTACAACTCTGGAGACCAGGGTTCGATTCCTGGCTCGGCCATGAACCCCGTTGGGTGACTGTGGGCAAGTCACACTCTCTCAGCCTTAGGGGAAGGCAAGGGCAAACCTCCTCTGAACAAATCTGGCCAAGAAAACCCCAGGACCGGTTCGCTTTAGGGTCACACACAACAACAACAACGAGAGCAAGAAGAATATTTGATACACAGCATAGTGGGCTCAAATTATATCCCAAATTCTTTGAGGGGGGGCCTCTGTTATAAGCATAGATGCTCCGGTTCTCAGCTCCACAATCCCAGGGATTTGGGGCAGACAGCATATGGAGCAGTTCAAGGATCCTGCAAGTTCAAGGATCCTCCAAGAGATCTATAATCTCATTGGAACCCTTCCAAGAGGTCTTTCTCTTGCAAATCTTGAGGCAGGCTTTATAGAGGTCTGTCTCATGTGTACCGGCCAGTCCTAGGGGTTATTCAGACGGTGAAAATAGAATCATAGAGTTGGAAGAGACCCTTAGGGCCATCCAGTCTAACCCCCTGCCATGCAGGAACTCTCAATCAAAGCATACCCGACCAATTGCTATCTAGCCTCTGTTTAAAGACCTCCAAAGAAGGAGACTCCACCAAAATCTCCGAGGGAGTGTGTTCCACTGTCAAACAGCTCTCTGTCAGGAAGTTCTTTCTAATGTTTAGGCAAAATCTCTTTTCCTGTTGTTTGTACCCGTTCCTCTGAGTCCTATTCTCTGGAGCAGTGAAAAACAAGCTTGCTCCATCCTCAATATGACACCCCTTCAAATAATTAAAGAGGGCTATCATATCACCTCTCAGCCTTCTCTTCTCCAGGCTAAACATCCCCAGCTCCCTAAGTCATTCCTCATAGGGCAAGGTTTCCAGACCCTTCACCATTTTAGTTGCCCTCCTTTGGACACGCTCCAGCTTCTCCACATCCTTTTTGAATTGCGATGCCCAGAACTGGACACAGGATTATTCCGAGTGAGGCCTGACCAAAGCAGAATAGAGTGGCACTATTACTTCCCTTGATCTAGACACTATACTTCTATTGATGCAGCCTAGAATTGCATTGGCCTTTTTAGCTGCTGCATCACACTGTTGACTCATGTTCAACTTGTGGTCTACTAGGACTCCTAGATCCCTTTCACTCATATCTTATTAAGCCGGGTGTCCCCTATCCTATATCTCTGCATTTCATTTTTT